AGATTAAGTCACTTTATTAGATGGACATTTTTAAGTACTTGTGGCATGCTGTTTCTAATACTAAGTCCTCACTTGCAGAAGTCCTTTCTTAGATGTTTTACCAGAATTTGGTGGCACAACTTAAAGTTCATTTGTTCTACTGAATGCTAAAGAAACAAAGTTAACTTTTTCAGGCAGCACTTAAAAAGTCTTGTAAAGGTAGTAACTGGGCAAATTTACAGGTATTAGTGTCGCTACCATTTTCTTTGCACTTAACTAGCAACATATAGCACCAACAATTTAGTAATGGTCACCATATTTTTATGTAACTAGCTACAAATATTGGTGTATACACCAGTATGTCTTCATCTGACTGGCCCCAAACTGGGCAGGGGTAAAGCAGCTGGAGAAGGGAAAAGCAAGCAAAATACTGCCTATAGCTAGATAGGCACTTTTATGAGTCATTAAACTAATTTTTTCCTCAGGCCACCATTGTCTTCATTTATACACCAATAAAATGTGCGATACCATGTTTATACAATTATCACAATTCTTGTATAAGGGATAAGACTAAGAGAGAGGGAAAGATATAGGCTTTTCTGGTAAGAAAGCATTGAAGTACAAAATTTAAGTGCACAGTCATGCTTGACTTTTTATCCTGAATTGTATTCATTTCTTTCCCTTCAAATTACACCAAAGAACCAAAAAGTCTCTCTCAGAATTCCTAAATACAGTGCATACAATTCAAATCTAAAAAACAGCAAGAGACACAGATTATTGAGTACTTGTTTTTCTGTCAAGTTCAATATTTTTGTTTCTAAGAGATGTGACAGAGTCTTCACTGAACATAAATCCATTACGTTACCACAGAAGAATTAGTCCAAGTCTGAAACAGCAGGCTGGGCCCACTGAAACAAGAACTTAAAGTGACTTAATGTGATTAGGAAACACTAGTTCTGAAAATACATATATTCGATTCATACGATTTGCTTAACTACATAACAGTTTAGTTTGAATTCTGGTACATTTTTGTTATATTTGGACATGTATTTGTGGCAACATTGTTATCCCCTACCAAATGCAATTCTTCACTTTTGAACGGCTACTACCATTCCACCTTTAAAAAATATTTTGGGGAAATATTAAGTGTAATATTTGTACTGTTCAAGAAAAGAAAACTGTTCCTGTTAGATATTTTTTTTAAGTTACTAGCAAACTCCCCATCATGAATGACTGCGGGGGGGGGGGGGGGGGGGGCCCGCGGGGGGGGGGGGGGGCCCCCACAGGGAGGGAGCGCCATGACCCAGTGCCGCCACCGATCTGCCTCCAACCCCGCGTAGTCTGAGTTAATGATTCCCTGGACCAGACAGAAGTTTACTGTTGGTTCCAGCAGGGAGGGGAATCAGCTGCTAGCTGTAAGCCTGTAACCAGTTTCCCCAAGCAACAACCCCTGAGAGCCTGTGCTATTTTCAGAATGGGAGGGAGGAAAAGGAAGCAGAGGGAGTTATTTTCTAGGGGTTCTAGGGGCTCCCCAGCTGTGCTAGAGGTTGGGGTGGGTGAGTTGAAGCCCCCCACCCCACTCTCCAGCACCCACTGAACTCCCTTCCCCAACCAAAATCTGTCTGCTCCCATTCACTCCTTCCACGTTGAAAACAGTGACAGGCTAGGAGGCAGTGTAGACTTAAGTTACAGAAGATGCTCTGTTTTGAAGTGTCTTCATCTGACCACTCATGCAATGAGGGTTCAGATGTTTGCTCAATTGGCCATTTTTGAAGCTGTTGGCAGCCATGCATTTGTGTTTGGTCATGGCTATAGACTGCTTTGTGTGGCCAGATCAGGCAAAAAATTGTCATTTCTGTCTGTGCCTTAACCATTGTTAATTAATTGGTAAAGGAATCAGAAGATAATCCATTCCTTGATATTTTCAAGTCAAAACTGGATCTCTCTCTTGAAGATGCACTTTAGCCCAATACAAATTATTGAACTTAACACAGAGATAATAGTGAAATGTAATATACAGGAAGTCAGACATAATGATCTAACAGTTTCTTCCGGTCTTAAGTAACTGAAGACTCGTATTTACTTACTTATACACTGTATGTAGACAATTGCTACATACTCAATTTTATATACAAATACATAAAATATATGAATGCTGAGGTAGACATTGTTTAGTCAAATAAAGAGTTAGAAAGCAAGGTATACTTTTGAAATACTGTGATGTCTACATTAATAATTTCATGTAACATACACCAGTACTATAAGCATGATTATTTCAAATATTATCTCACTGAGAAAGATTACTCTTATGTATGTTTTGGTGAATGCTCCCATTTTCTGAATTTATAAACACAGTTCGCCTTTTATGAAATATTGTTAGGGATAAAAATATCTTTGTGAACATACACTTATAAAATTAAATTATAATGAGCTAACAGCTTTATGTTAGTCAAAGTAGAAATGTGCTATTACAAAGTCCTATTTTGGGGGTTTAGTATCTTGGCAGGTTGAAATAGATAAGCAAGGATTATGAGTCCAGAGACTGAAGTTTTTAAAAATCAAGCAAGCATGCTTTAAAATTTGCCAAGCTTATTATAATAATAGAGTTGTCAAAAAGAGTTTAGCTGGATTCACTGTTTTGACTACTTTGTTGTGAAAGGAATGATATTATGGAGTTTATTACAGTAGTGCATTCAAGGATCCCAGTCAGAACTGTGGCTGCATTGTACTACACAAAAGAAAGAATTGGCCCCAACTGCAGGGAACCCGATGTCTTAGATCAAGTTGGTGAAGACATTTTAGTATCCTTCATACTGGAACAGCAGACTACAATATAGACCCAATATCCTTGTTTTACTGTACACACCTATTATGTTTATCATTACAACAAACAAATGTGATTTGTTTTTTCTTCTAGGAAACTGCATGCCAAGATGAAAAAACAAAGTTAAAAAAAAAAGAAAGCATTTATGCAGCCAGCTGTGCCAAAACTTTAAATGATGGTTTATAGCTCTACTGCATAATGCCCAAGACATACAACCAAATAAATTAAAATCTGTGAACTCCTCCCTTGCCTCTTCTCATTATCCAACTAGTAAACAGCAACAGGGAAACATGCTTTTCCTTCTTAAAAGTTTTATTTCATGCACTTACAAAAGTTACTTTATGAGATGAACAGACAAAGGGAAAAAAAAAATCAATAACGATTATAAGGAAGGCATTCAGTTTGCAGGAGAGTAAGAAGTCAACATAAGAATAACTGCAATGAGGTATATTTTAAATAGTTATACACACACACACACACACACTTGATAATTTATTCTTTATGGTAACGTATGGCTGTTGTGCATTTTAATCCAAGCAAAAAGGTACAACTGAAATCATAATACAACTGATGTACAGTTCATCAATTCACTAATGCACTGATGTGCATTTGTAAAACACTGAATTATATATTGATTATAAATAAGTGGTTCAAGTAATCTTATGGAAATCCTTGCAAATCAAATCAGCCACCACTGCCTTAGGGTGGTGTTCAATCCTTTGCCTCTGTAGGCCAGATGAGTAGCATGGGGTCTGTGTGCAGGCTGGACCAAGCCCTGCATTGCAGAGTTGGGCTCCAGAGGTTCAGCACTGCCCCCTCCTAGCATCCCACACTGGGATTGGGCCCCAAGGCCCAGCATGGCCAGTGTCCCCACCCAGCCCTGTGTGCTAGGATCAGATACTTGATCCAGCATGCAGGGTTCAGGACTCCCCAGCCATGGTTCTGGAAATTTGACAGCAGGAGAACAGTGCCACCGCTTCCCCACTGGCAGGTTTCCAGATCTGGAAGGAGCCCTGTGGGCCAGACTACATGGCACCATGGGCTGGAACTGGCCCACAGACGGGGTTGACCACCCTTGCCTTAAGGGGTGAAGCTAAGCACTGTCATTGAGGCATGACAGTATTTCAAGACTCAAGAGAAAGACTGCCTCATCTATGGGTTTTTAAGTGAATAGGTCTTAAACCTTGTACTTATGACACATTTGAAGTGTTCAGTTATGTACACAGACAACATCACTTGCTATCTAAAAATTAGCAATTTTACTTGGGTGAAGCAACTTCAATATCATTATAATCAAGAATATAATTACATTCAAAATATCTCCTCCTTTTTAACTAATCTGTTGAAGGTTTGGCAAAGATGTTGATAATGAAGATGGTGTCAAGGGAATCTAAATCTCATGCATATGCAGTAAGGTTCAAGCCAAAAACACATTGTTTCTCATCAACCTCTGACTACAAGTACCAACAAACAAGCATTTACTGCCACAGCTGCAAATGAAATTCATGACACGGTTCTATAGGTACAATCACTGCAGAACAGAAAATGCTTTTAGCCACCATTAACACCACATTCAGAATAAGAAAAATATTGTAACTGTTGCTCAAGTCACCAAAAACATTCAAAGGTGCCAAGTTAGGAAGGGCACTGGAATTACCCCCCACCTGTACGGAGTCTGTGCTCCAGGAATAACTTCAAAACAATACTGGCTGCTTTTGCTTTAAGAGCAATAGAGCTAGGGCAGGCAGAGCAGACACATCAGCAGCAGCTCAACCAGGACTGCTTAGAAGTTTCCACCTGGATAAAAGCTGCTGTCCCCCTGTGCCCCCAGTGCTGGACCTGCACCCACAGGTTTTACTCCATATATGTTTTGCAAGGAACTACCCATTCTGGAATCTGTCATATTCTGAGAAACCTAGCATCACATTTAATTCATTATCTGTAATATAATATGAAGTTAAGTCTAAAAGATAAGTGACAACAAATGTTGCTTAGGAATGCATTATTAGGTAGTAATAGCATGCAGCATATTCAATGTTTTTATTCCTTAATTGTTCAATCCCCAACTGAAAGCTCTGCACAGTGTTTAAACACTGTGCACCACTTCCAACAAACCAAACCAAATCCAAAAAAGAAGAATCATTCCACAAGCAAGTTATTAGCATTTTAGTCTCAAATAAAAGTATCAGTGACTCACCTGCAGTGAAGTCGCTATTCAAATCTATAAATGCATGAGAATGGGGTATATACATTTTATTCCCAGTATCCAACGCAGTATGCCATGATAAATTCCTAAGAAAGACAAAGAATATAGAGCTGTCTTTATCCGATTAACAGCTAGGGCTCAAACTTGACAGTAATCCTTTTAAAAAGAAAAAAAATCTGTGTTTTTGTAAAAGTAAACAAATTCCCCGCCGCGATTATGTATTTCATGGTATATTGAACATCTCTTGATTAACTACGTGAAATAATGTGGACAGCATGTTTTGTTTCAGGAAGTTAGTTTCTCATAATATTGAATGAGTTTAAATGATCAAACTACACTAAGAGTACAAAAAGCCAAGAGGAAACGCAAAATAGTATCAGAGGTCTAACCACATTTTAAAACTGTACTTTTTTTGGTTTTCTTAATTCATTTCAGTCAAACTATTGTGTTACATATTTATCATCTTTGGATTTTTAGAGACCAGCAAAAACAGAGATAAGCACATGCTGTGCCAAGCAGCTTATGCCTTTTGTGTGTAAACAAAATATTTTGTTTGGTAAAACAATTATAAAAGCAAAACAAGAACGGAAGTGACGCACAAGAATTGAGGGGTGAAGCTGAGGGCATATACTGGGAACAAATCAATTGTACTATGGCAGCTGTGCAGAAACAAGCAGACTCTGCATTTGAAAGTAGAAAAAAGGAGCAAGGAAAGATGTAAAAAAGTAACAAACTCAGTCCTGGTTGTACCAGCAGTAAAGTGGCTGCACTGTTTTTGGAGGCAACTTTTAAAAATCAAGGTGCCTTGACTTGCGCAAGTAAACCTGTTCCTGCATCTATGATCAGTTTCCCAAGCATGATTAGCATAAGAACACATATGCAGTGAGGTCTGCAACTGTCAGAAATGTTGCTTAAATTTTGTAATAAAAAATAAAAAAGAACAGAGGTTTCTGTGTTTCTGCATAAAATCCTGTTTATAAACTCTTTTTATTAAAATATTATGGCTTTTTTATGTATTACACAATCAAGCTGCTGAAAAAAAAAATATTATCCCTCTCATTAATTCCACTCTCATCCCTTTCATTCAATATTTTGGACAAGCTACAAAAACTCTTAAAACAAAAAATCACCCCGTCCAATATAATAGTAAATATGCATCATTTCAGATTTCCATGGACTTTGCATTTGTTTTTTTGACTTCGGACAAATGTTGACAGTGCCATTTTAAATCTTAAAACAAGGCTTAGGGCTTTTTTAATAAAAATCCTAAGTATTAAAACAATTTTTTTTATTTTTTTTTAAACAGATCATCAGGTGGAGACTATATTCTGGCCTGTAATATTCAACCTTCCTCTGAACTATACCCAGTACATTTCTTTGTACCAACATGCTACTAAAACTATTTCCTCACAGGAAAAATAACTTTGTTCTCTCAGAAACCCGATAACAATCTTTCATTGTAATCACTCCAAGGTTACAGTTACTGTCATGAATACCCTTGAGGAATTTGCAAACACTGTTCCACAAGTCATAGTTTTACATAAAAGTCATCTTGATAAAATTCAAGTAGAGATTAATGACCAAAAGCATGACTCTTAGAAGGGCAGAGAATTTCCAATTATACTTTTATATAGTTAAAAAACAAGATTGTTTTCTGTACTATAATATAATGATTTGTTTTGCCAAAGATAAACAGATTTTCAAATAATGTCCCGATTGAGAACGTCTGCAAAGTGGGGCTGTTATAAACAGTTACATTTAAGAAAACCAGTCAGAAATTTATTAAAGCCTCTCATTTTAATATGCTTTTGACAATGTATTAGACTGATATCCAAGAATAAAAAAAAAAATCCTTAATTAAACATTTCTTATAAGCCAGAAAGATGTAAATTAGAAGATCTGAGGTACTGTTTCCATAGAAACGGTGGTATAATCTGATCGACTTTTCCAGTTCTAATAGGCTCCTTTTGACATAATAGCTAAAAAAATCCCCAGGGGAATGCAAAAGACTTCACAACAAACCATTTCTTTTCAAATGAGCATCAGTGTTTATTACATAAAAAAATTAAACAGCTGTCAGAGACCAGCTACATCTGGATTTACTCTGCAGCAGCGCAACAAGTGCCATAGTACATTTTCTTATTCATTTGATCAATTAAGATGATAGACTACACAGTAAAGATGACAGACTATGCATAAAGTTTTAGTTAAAAAACAAAAGTACTACATTATGGGTCTAAACTACTAGAGATTCACTTAAAGTGGAAAAATTAGTAAAAATATAGCTATGAAAAAAAAAAGAGGCTGTAATATTAAAAGTGAAGCTCTAGTAATGACAAGTTGATTTAAGAAGCCAGCCCTGTAAAATAATAAGTACCTTAAAGGTCTTACCAAAATTTGCAAAGGAAAGAATACAATAATCACAGAATCAGGCCAACAGATGACATATTAATATGTGGACGCTGAAAGCTAGGCATCCAAGTTTGAATTTTCTGCTAGTGTTAATCACATTCTGTTTTGAGTAGCAAAAATCTAGCTTCAATTCTTGTCAGAAAACTATTAAACCTGAGCATGCAATGTGCTTCTTTTACTTTTTCAAACGAATTGCAAATTTTGTTCTTATCCTTAAGTCTTTTTGGCAATTATTTTTTTCCTTCTATTAGCAATTTACTCAGTGTCCTGTGTTTCCTCTGCATTGCAATGACAATACAGTGGAGAGAGAATGCAGCTTTGTTGTCCAAGTAACTAGCTAAAACTTTATTTGAAATATAGGCATTTCCTTATACCTTTGGGGAGAGAATGTTAAAAAAAATGCCATTTGATTAATTTATATAAAAATATGTAACCAATAAAAAAAAAGTCGTGAGCCAAAACCAACAAAAATTTTAAAACACCATCATATAATATGAATCAGGCAATTAACCAATTTAGTTGAGAAAAAACTAAAACTAATGATTTTGTGGTACTAGCTATATATATGCAGAATAGTCACACCTGTAGATAATTTCAACAGGTCACTTCCACACCCATAAGTGAAAAACTGTTTGTTTTTTTTAATTGGTTCTCTTAGAATTTGTAAAAGCAGTCATAAGAAAAGCTTTCCATTAGGGCTGTGCGAAACAGCACCATTTCATTTTGACTTCCATTTCACTGTTTTGAAGGGACAGTGTTTTGTTTAGCTGTTTTGAAGCACTGTTCCTTTTCATTTCATTGAAACTGTTTTGCCGTTTCAACATTTTGCCCATAGGCTAGAATGGGGATTCACAAAAATGCCTATATCTTTATCAATTCTTGCCTGATGCAGATGAAAATTGCAGGAATGGTAGCCCGTTCTGAGGGCATGAAGCCTGCCATGTTTCAAGGAGATAGGTGCAGGGGTTTCTGGGAAACTGCACCTCAAACTGTTCAAAGCAAAACTCGTATCACTTGCCGGCAGCGGCAGCCTGC